GCTCTTGGTGGGGGGCTGGGCCGACGGAAGCAGACGCGGAGACCGGGACCCCGGCCGCTGCTGCCCCCTCCTTAAGCTCGGTCGGAGAGATCCGGAGCGCCGCCGGTCCAAGGAAGGACATGGGCGAGACCGGGGGCCGGACAGGCTCGCGGCCGCCCTCCTCCCGGGGACAGGTGGGCGTTTCTCCCCTCCTTCGAGCCCGTCTCCCGCGAGGGCCGGGGAAAGCCCGGTCCTCGAGCTGGTGCTCGTAACCGAACATGCCGGAGGGCAGCGCCTCTTCTGGCCCTCTGTCTGGTGGAGCAGAAGTGGCGTCCCGGGGCAGGTGGAGACGCCCCCCCTCCTTGCTGTTCCTTCACTGCACTTGCATTGATGTGTAGGTGGCCTGGCTGGCACAGCTGCCAACTCTTTGAGGACTAGAAGCTTTGCCAGCTAGATGTTAGCCCTGCATCGGGGCGGGAAGCTGCTGAGGCTGGCGCTTCTCCCATTCTCTCTCTCCCCAAAGGGCTGCCTGAACGGAAGCACCCACATTTGGCTTGCCGGCCCTGCCAGCATTCAGAAGAGTGGCTAGTCCTGCCTGCAGTTAGAAGGAGGCGCTGGTTTAGGGTGCTGTGATCAATACTCATGTTTATGAGGCACCTTCGTTATTCATTTATTTGCTCCCCGGTTTTGAATACCTTAACCAGGAAGTTAAGGTATTTCCCCAGGCAAATTTCACGGAATCCTCCAGCAGATCCCTATCGATGCCTTTCTAGTTTGCATCCATCAGCAGTGCCAAGAAGGGGTGGCATTCCCAGGCTTACACTCCCATCCAATAGGTTGCAAGCATGGGACGTCACTGCCGGCTTCCCCAAAGCTTCTCCACTGCACAAGTGCCTGAATTACGCCAAGCTGCGGTGTCCTAATGGGCACGAGGCTACATTTACCACAGTCTACCTGCCCAGGGTTTTTAAAGTTTCCTCCATGTCATCCAGCAGGGCTATCAAGGTCTTCCTCTGCATCTCCCAGAATCCAAGGGCAGTGCAGAGGACTATTCTAAACTGGTTGCTGTATTTCTTATTTATTTTATTCTTATTACATACATGGCCTGTTTTTCAGTCCAGTTTGGCCCCGAAGTGGCATTTTAAAATGCATGAAAAACAAAAGCAGCTTCTGAGCTGGCGTTATCTCTGGCACAGTAGGACTTTCAGCATTGGTCTGCTTACTGGCGTTAAAGGTAATTCATCTTTATTTTTCCTTTTGCACAAGATACAGAAGAGCCTCAGCAATACCACATCACTGCAGGGAGCAGGAAAATCAAAAACAGCCGGAATCAGAACTGTCCAAGGGACCTGTGGAAAGGCACCGATGCAGTATTGAAGTAAACGGGAGCCATCGCTTCTAGCTGATTGGAGTAACCCAAGGAGTTCCTTACTGCTGGCACGGAATGGGACAGCTGAAGCGAATTCTTCTGCGGCCTCGGTTGACCCGTATCGTTTTTGTTCCGTTAGGGCTGTCACCGGGGAGCATAACGGTTCTTTGCCCAGTGCAAACGTGCTGGTGAAAGAAGGAGCTTTTGGAAGCCTGACTCTCCAGCTGCTTCGGGGACCAGGGCGAGGGGGTGGCCTCAGTTGCGGGGGGCGGGGCCCCGCCGGAAGGCTTGAAGGGCATTATTTTGATACACAATTTTATATTCTATATATACACAATTTTATATTT